CCGAAGGGCATGACCTTGAACTCAAAGTGGCCGTTGTGGGTGCGAAACGCCGTTTTAAAGGAATCACTAGGCAACATGAGGAATTGATGGAAACCCGAGAAGAGTTCCAGTTTCGAGAACCATGTAGCATTGCCAAGTTCATCCAAAAGCTCATCTACAGTAGGAATCAGAAATTTGTCCTTAACGATAACGACATTGAGGGCACGGTAATCGACGCAAAATCGCCATGTACCGTCCTTTTTCTTGACAAGAAGAATAGGGGAAGAATAAGGACTTGTGCTTGGTGTAATGAATCCCGAGTCTAGCATTTTTTGAAGCTGAGCCTCAATTTTTTGCTTCTGAAAGCATGGGTATCGGTAAGAGCGCACTGAAATGGGAGCAGTGTTGGGTAAGAGGGTGATGGAATGGTCAATGTAACGAGATGGGGGAAGGGTGATAGGCAGGGAAAATAGAGCAGAGTAGGTGGTGAGTAAGTTTTGTAGTTGAGGGGTAGGAGAAGAAGGGATAGCAGTATCAGAGGGCAAAGGAGGTATATGTGAAGTGGGAGAATGGATAGAGGGAAAAGGCTCGAGTTTGAGTTGAAAGAGTGTTTCTACTCTGTTTGTGTGTTGTAGGCGTTTAAGTTAGTGGGCTGTTATAGGTGTAGGGTTTGGGCCTTGTTCCCCCTTGAGTTCTATCATCTTATCCTCCCACATAAATCTCATGAAAGGCCCATTGTAGTCCATAATGAATGGGCTAACTTGAGTAAGCCATTGGACCCCTAATACTACATCAGTGCCAGATAGATCCAAGGGAGTATAAGTCAATAGGGAATTCGAGAGAAGCTAAGGTAATGTGGGCCTTGGGGCAGAAAGTAGTGCAAGGTAAAAACTCCCCATTCCCAACCATGACTCTTAGTGGGCTAGGGGTGGGCTCAAGTGCAAGGTAAAGAAAATGGGCTACCTTAGTCTGAATGAAGTTCTGTGTTGCACCACTATCAACCATGATCTGTACTTCATAACCGTTAATAGAGCCCGTGACCTGAAAGGTTCTGGAGGTCCAATGACCCGAAAAAGAGTGGAGGCTGATCAACCCTGCTTCCAAAGATGGTTATCTGGTGGGTCACAGTCCAATTCCGTGAGTGGTTCAGAGACATCGTCGGGGTCAGAAACGATGAGCAAGAGGAACTAGGACTTACAACGATGGCCACATGTATACCTTTCATCACAATTATAGCAAAGGTTCTTTTCACGACGTGCCTGCATTTCAGCTTCCATGAGGCGTTTGATGGGTAGTTTGGAGGGAGGTGTGAGAAGTAGTGGTGGGATTGGTGGTTGGTGGTGGCGGTCTGGAGAATTTGGTGAAGGGTAGAGGGGAGGGAGAGAGTTTGGATTTGTCATCGTGTAATTTGGTGAACGCCACAGCTTGTGGCATGTCAGTGGGCTGGAGGGCGGTGACCTCACATCGGAGGTGGGGCTTAAGGCCGAAGATGAAGCAGCTAAGCTAAAAGTTGGCTGGGTACCTTGAGATGCAGTTGGCGATCGACTCAAACTCGGAGATATAGTTATGAAGGGTCTGAGTTTGAGTGAGGCGGCAGAGTACAGCGATCGGATCGTCAAACTTGGATGGTGCAAATCTCAATTCTAAGGCACGGAGGAAGACATCCCAAGAGGTGAGAAGGCCATTATTGTGCATCCATTGGTACCAAGCAAGTGCAGGTCCCTCCAGGTAGAAGGAAGCAATATGAGTTCTCTGTTCCGGTGATGTCATGTGAAAATCAAAAAATTGAGTGATCTTGAAAATCCAACCCAGAGCATCATCACCGTTGAAAGAAAGGAGGTCGAATCTGAGTTTGAGTGAGGCGACAGAGTGCAACGATCGGATCGTCAAACTTGGATGGTGCAAATCTCAGTTCCAAGGCACGAAGGAAGACATCCCAAAAGGTGAGAAGACCATTATTGTGCATCCATTGGTACCAAGCGAGTGCAGGTCCCTCCAGGTAGAAGGAAGCAATCTGAGTTCTCTATTCCAGTGGTGTCATGTGAAAATCGAAAAACTGAGTGATCTTGAAGATCCAACCCAGAGCATCATCACTGTTGAAAGAAGGGAGGCCGAACTTAAGAGGGCGAGCAGAGGTGTGGTGATGAGGACAAGGTGATACAGAGAGGTTGGATTCCAAAAGGGAAGTACGAGCAGCTATGTCATGTAATGTGTTTGAGAAATTGGCTTGGGAAAGAAGGATTTGCTCAAGTTTTATGTCAAGGAAAGAAAAGGTGTCAGAAGGATCAGCCATGGGAGGAAGAGGCTCAACGAAAGCACCAATGAAAGGTTAGCACAGAAAATAGAAAAGAATAATCAGAAGAGAATGAGAATATCAGAGAGGAATTTTGCAAATATCATTCATCCCCTTTCTCAATCATTTAGATGTGCTTATATAGCACCATACATGCAACGTGAAATGTAAGAAAAAGAATAAAGTTTGTTAGACATGCTTCCTCTGCCTAACCAATTCCTATAGATACTGCCACATAATCATTCGGTTACATAATCCTTGAAGTAAATGGATCTCTTTCGAATTCGTTGGGGTCTTGCATCATTTTCTACTTCCTCTTGAATATTCTCTAAACTTGGTTGTTCCACCATAATGGGCCTGTTAGTAGAAGTGGGCCTAACAAATGATAAACTTAATTCTAACTCATTGTAACGAGTTAAATAATTAAATCCAATCTAGATTTCAAATCTCAACTAACACATTCAATTTTATATTTAATGCTTCTTTGTTTCTTAGTATTCATGGATTAATAAAAAGAATTATTCAATTGAGAAATTGTAATTATTTTTTAACATGAATTGAATCGCGCATTTACAGATTACCTATGAATAGAAATTTATAAATATGTGATCACTAGAATTGTTACACTTAATGCTTACCTTCTTCTTAGTTACTTAAGGGATTAAGAATGTAGAAGTTGATTTAAAACCAATTGATCAATGAATTGACATTGGGTAATTCAGTAAATCTGATCATTAGCTTAGACTTGAATTTTGGATGGTACATAAACCGAGAAAGGATCAAGAGAATATGAAGTTAATCTACATTTCCAAACCATTCATAAATCATCTTTCGTTTTTTAGTTTTCTTTACGCTGCCAATTCAATACAGTTTTACAACAAATTCTTTACACATTATTGATACTCTTAGCGTTGAATAAACTTAGCTATCCATTTTCTAATTTACTATATTTCTCCACAATAATTAATTTTTTCTAAATTTTCATACTTTGTTTTTGTGTTTGACTAGCAAAACTCTCACGAAAGTGATAACTAAATTATTAATTTCAGTGGACAATATTTTTGTTACTACGTTGCGATTTGGTTCACTTGCCACATTATTTATCAAAAAGTAAATGATGTAATTAAAAAAATTAAATTTTAAAAATATTAAAAATTTAAGTTAAATTATAAATTTATTTCATGTTTTCTTGACTTTAGTTCTTATATGTAAATGTTATAATTCAATTCTATACGGTGAATATTATTATATTAATCTTTTTCTTTGACAAGTGTATTGATAATTTTAGATGAAAGAAACTAAAATATAAAAAATTATTCATATATGAAATTAATTTGGAGCTTTTTAACTTAAAAGTTAATTTGTAAATAAATGTCTTTCATTTCTCACTGTAATGAGTTATGTTATGTTACTCACTGGAGGTAATTCCCTTAAACAAGAGATAAATAACTTAAGCCATAAAATACAGTATAATTTTAGCTTAAACAGTGAATATTAGCTTAAGCAAATATCAAGGTAAATAAACTCTTCTATTATAACCAATGTAACTTAAGCGATATTACTACGGTTTCAACGAATTATGAAATATGTCTTTGAATTTTCTACTCTTTTTCTTTCTCTCTTTATTTTTGAGACTTTAAAAGTTCAACGAGTATCTGCATCTTGTTGAGAATATTGAAGTTAATGCATAGAACTTGTTAGAAGAGCACCTGAAACCAATAGAAGAAGAGTTAACGATAAAGACTAAATTTTAACTTCTTAACATTTTAGGTTATAAAAAAAAAAATCTTTATGTGAATTCAAGAAGTATATTTTGAAATTGATATGTATCAAAAGTCCCTAGTGGTAATTATATGAAAAATTTATCATATAAAAGAAAAAGAGCTCAGTCAAGGTCTCTATACATGTCTCTCCATAGGTTTTATTGCAAAAAGAGATAGACTATAGAGACTATATAATAATTTCTTATTTTATATTTAACAATATATATAAAATTTTTATCATATGAGGTATAAATTATGAAAAAATAATTAGTCTAAGAGTCAAAATACGAGCAAAGGATAGATAATGAAGACTAATATATTATTATCTTATTCTATATTGGTTGAAATAAGATGGATTTGGTACATGTATTTTTGTGATAAAAACTTTATTTCGTGAAAGACTTAATTAAAAATAGATATGGTTAAACAATTTTATTTTTTTATTTAATGCATAAAATATAAAATAAAATAAGTCTTTTTTTTATATATTTAAAAGTCTGGTTTTTATTATATCTTGTTTTTATCTAACTTATAGTATATCATTTTTTATTTTATTAAGCCCACCACACGGACATGAATCACAGTTGGTTATAATTTTTTTTAGTACACAAACCTAATTACAAATATTTTAGTTCAAAAACTTGTGATTCGGGGGTGTATTTGTTAAAACTAATTGGAAAAGGTTAGTTGGACGTTAAAAATTTAATTAAAAACAAAAGAATTGAAAATGTTTCTTAAAAGTTAACACCTATATTCTCAACAAAGAAAACACCCATGACCTAAAGAAAAAAAAGAAAGAAAATGCTTCTTATGCTTCTTTGAGTATACTTGTAAAACTTGTCAATGCCTAGTCCAGAAAGCTATATTATCATTTCTTAGATAAGGGATTTATACAAATCACACACATATGGAGGAAACAAGAGACAATGAAGTGATAGCATCATAGTGAAAAGTGTATTCCACTGTAAAACCAAACTCTTCCTTTGATGCCAATATTTATCATATCTAATATAATGCATTGCACAACCAAATAGGCCACAATTTAAAGAAGAAAAAAATCTCAGAAAGCCAAGCCATGCATGAATATATAATTCGACTAAACCAAGAATCATCAGGTCCTTATTCTGTCCAACCTGTCAACACTCTTCCTTGCTTTTTCAAGTTGATGATCAATGCTTTTTCTAGACTTCTCATGACAATCCACGCTTCTCCGCGACCTTTCCATGTGATCAAAAGACATTCTCAGTTTTTCTAGCTTGTCAGCATTATTGCTAGACAAATTTTTCAGTTTTTCAGGCCTGTCTGTGCTCAGCCTCGGCTTTTCTCTGCGATCAGTGCTCTTTCTACTTACTTCAAAGACATCAATACTCTTTCGCGGCTGCTCAAACTGCTCCATGTTCCTTCGGAAGCTGTATCTTTGGGATGGAGACTTCTCAACAGTGGCTATGAACTTCTTCAGATGCCTGATATATTCAGGAAATTGCTCTAAATCACAGTGGTTACCTCCCTTGAGCCACAATGGTTCATACTTCTCTTTACACAGTTCCCACAGTTGTTTACCATGGGAGCAATCTACAACTTCATCTGAAGTCCCCTACAAGATAACATAAAGGATATTGCTGAGCAACCGCAATCATAAAATTTTCACCAGATTCTTCACTATGTAAACATTTGCAGGCACATAAAGTTTCATAAGTCCTGAAGTCCGAAGGTAGGGGAAAAAAGGAAAAGAAAACTAAATTAATTGCTTGCTTGAATTGTGTCATTAATTATCTACACTGTAAATGTTTAATGGCACACTTCAATATTTAAAACTGAAATTTATGTATTGATATCGCTTACCTATTTTGGCTACATCACATGAAAAGCGTTGAAAAAAAAGGGTAAAGAAGAGTCTGAAATGTTTTGCAAGTATTTCATTCACAATAGCAGTAATGAAATGCCAGCAAATCTAGTACCAATGAAAAAGACACATGTCGCTGCCTGTATGGCAAGCATAGACAATATCTCACTAATGTCAGCATGGAGCATCCTTCTTTTGAACCACAAACAATAAGCATGATAGGCAAAACAAGCTCCATAAGTAGAAGACAACAGCATTTTAATGGATATCTTACTTTCAAAGTTAAAACTATAATCTTCTTTTCCCTGAATAAACTAATATACACAGTAATTCTGGTGAAGAAAATTTAGTACTTTTTTCATGATAAATAATAATGACGCTCAAGGGCTGAAAAGTCTGCCACAGACATGAAATATGACAAAAGCATTACAAGTCATATGTAAATAAAGAGGAAAGGAAATAATCTAACATATTTCATGCTTAGAACTAAAAAAATATTTCAATTGGGGTGCAACTGCAAGTTTACAATAAAGGTAAAGAAATTTTTGGAAAAAAAAAATACATAAAACAAAATGCTAATGTTGCTCAAGTTCAGACTATCCAACTCAACAACAACAAATGATGCAGCATCTTTGAAGAAATCTTACATGAATTATGAGAACTGGACAATTAACTAGTGGAATTTTGTCGATATTCTGCATATCAACACAAAGCAGCACCTGATTAGATTAAGGAATTGATGTGCCTGTAAATCAGCAATATTTGATTAGAAATGTCAACAAATGATTAGAAATCAAAACATTATGCTACCTTGTATATGTCAAACCAGTAACTACGCTTTACTGGATACATGACCCTTAAGCCCGAAAGTATAGGACTATGCAGAACAACAGCTCTCAATTGAGGCAACTTAGTTGCAAGATCCAAAGTAGGTCCACTGCCAACAGATTGGCCATACAGGATTACATCTTCTGGCTTGGTACCATAGCTTTCTTCTAGACACTTATACACAGCCTCAATATCTGCATATGTATTCTGCTCGCTTGGCTGCAGTTTAGGCAAAAAATATTAATTAGCATACATATGGTTGGTTATAGCACTAGCACCCTTCACATCATCAGGCATGACATAACAACATGAACAAGCATTTCATGTTCTTACAAACCTTCCCTGATGACTGGCCATACCCAGAGTAATCATACCTGCGCAAAATCACAGATAACCGTGAGCCAAATCACCATTCCACACTTCACCTTCTGAATTGAGGAAGAGACAGAAAATATTCTTCACAATAGTCTCTTTGCTCTCTACAGATATAACACACACACACACACACTTCCAAATAGTGGTTAACCAACTACATAAATTTCACCAAGCCAGAACAGGTCACTAAATGAGTTGTCCCAAGTTCACAAACCTGAATTACAAACACATTATGATACACGGATATTTCAAAATTGGCAACATAACTATACCAAATAATCAATACACGTATGGCTGCCACAGTATCAAAGCTTCATTGCATTGCCTTCAAATCTCTTAACATACATTTTTTTGCTTCAGATAATAGAGATTAGTAAAATAACTTGAATATAATATTTTTATTTAAATTTGATTATGATTTTTCTCTTTTAATAAAATTTTGAATAGGTTAAAATCAGTGGTAATACGACTATGAAGATGACAGATCAATTTAAATATTAGTTATATTTGAAAAAACTAAAAAAATCAAGAAAAATAAATTAAATATATAAATAATTTATAAAAACATTTATATTTTACTAATTATATTTTTTGGGTATTTTAATTTTTATGGTAGCAAACTCCACCATTGTCAAAATATGCAAAGGTGTGAACTCCTCCAACTGATCACAAATTTCATACCTTCCCACCATATTTTTTTGTCATCTTCAAAAATCACGTAACCAAAGCAACCCCATTTAGAATTTTTGACATTCCCACAAAATACAAAACACCCATTTGCAAATATTCCAAATCATAAACGATACCTCCCTTCATCCTAAAAAAGAACCAAACTTTGGCAAAACCCAGAAACCAAAACGAACACAAGAACATGAAGACAGCACAAAAAATGAAAAACATACGTACCCCATGAGATTAACACGCAAGTGGATGCTGAGGTGGATGAAGAGCTCGTACATCTGGCCAAGATCGGTGGCATTGCCATGAGAGTAGAGAAGAGTGGAAGAAGCCATTGGGTGGCGAACGTAGATGGCAACAATCTCAGTGCCACGACGCGTGTGAAGCTTTTGAATTTCAACGTTTTCGCGGTGAGGGTAGGGGGTGAGAAGAAGAAGAGCAGTTACATCGTCCTTCGCTAACTTGTACGATGATGGGTTCGGAGGGAAGAACGCCAACTTCGACGCCATCGACGATGTTACTCCACCCATTGAAATTCTTATACACGCACACACTCTCTATAGAGTTACTATGTGTTTGGTTTGTGAATTCAGAAAAAGTAGAAGTAATATAGTGAGTTTGTGAATTCAGATCGATGCATTGGTTGTTTGTTGAAGGAGAGTGAGCGAGTGAGTGAAGCTTTTTTGTTTTGGCAAATGGAAAGGGAAAAGAAGAACAGAGAGAACTTGTTTATGTGAATAATAATTGGATTTTAAGGATCTTGTTGGTAACTGGTTGAAAATTTCTTGCATAAAAAAAAATGTTTTACTTTGACCGAAAATTAATCATACATTAATTTTCTGAACTCTTAAAAAAATTATAAATTTATAAGTCAAGAGCATGTGTTATTATAATAAGATAGATTTATTATATGTATTTTTGTGATGTAAATTTTATTTCGTGAAAGACTTAGTTAAAAATAGATATGGTTAAATAATTTTATTTTTTATTTTTTATTAATATATAAAATATAAAATAAAATAGAAGTCTGGTTTTTTTTTTATATATATATTTAAAAGTCTGGTTTTTATTATATCTTGTTTTTATCTAACTTATAGTATATCATTTTTTATTTTATTAAGCCCACCACACGGACATTAATAGTTGGTTATAATTTTTTTTAGTACACAAACCTAATTACAAATATTTTAGTTCAAAAACTTGTGATTCGGGGGTGTATTTGTTAAAACTAATTGGAAAAGGTTAGTTGGAAGTTAAAAAGTTAATTAAAAACAAAAGATTTGAAAATGTTTGGTAAGATTTGCTATTAGGCTAGTTGATAAATGTAAAAATTAGAAATAAAGATATTATAAATGAGTAGACCAAAAATTAAAATTTAGTAATTATATAAGCAAAAAAAAATAGTAATTATATATTTTTAAAAATTATAAATTATATTTTTTAATTTATTTAAAATTATTCATCATATTTAAATTAGGATAGTAAATTTTTAATTTCACTTTTATATATGAATATTTTATTTTTAAAAAAGTGTAATAAATTTGTTAAATCTTCCTCAACATATTAATAGTTTTTATTTTGTAAATAATGAATTTTATTATATTTATTTATTTATTATCATTGTGAAATATTTTCTTTATTTTTAATGTATATAAAGTAAAAAAGTAGAGTTTTAAAAATTGAATAGATAAAAAAGAAATTACTAAAAAATAATAACAACAAAAATGATAAAAAAAAATTTAACTAGTAATTGGAAATAAAATATGTTAGTACGAGTAACATTAAAAAAATGTTTTGGTTACTTTATCCAATGATATTATTTTTATTAAACAGGTTTTTTAACTAGCAAAAAAAATTTAAGTATACTAAAATGTCTTACCAAACACATTTAGTTTCTAAACCATTTAAAAAATTTATAATCAGACGCCTTTGCTTAATAAAATCCTAACAAAAATAAAATCGGTGACTCAACATAAAAGTTGTTTACAAGTTTAAAAGAATTCAGATGCCTATAGAATGAAATTTTCACGCTTTTTTATTTAGTATTTATAAATTATTTTTCAGTCTTATCATGCCATTTTTTTTATAACTTAATCAGTTTTCCTCTTTAAATGAAAAAATTACTAACCAGAAATGTAATTTAATGTTTTAAGATGTTTCAAGCGTAATGTTTGTGAGTAGTGCTACGGGTCTTTCTCTGCCTTCTTTGTCTACATGTAATTAAGTATACTGAGATATATTGTTAATTATAATTTAAATTTTTAATTAATTGTGTCAATCAATAATGTGTTGATTATTGTCAATTTTATTGGATTGATCTTATCTATTCTTTCTATATTAAGGTGATTGATGTATTATAGGTATATTTCTGCGGTCTGCATATTATAGGTATTATATATCTGCATCATAGAAAATAAGTTTTAGTTTCAAGGCATGTTTATATAAGAATTAATCTAGTTAAGATTTAATAAATGGATTTCATTTAATAAAATCCATTTATTATCTAACAAAACTTACATATTTTTATCTAAATATTAAAATATATATTGGTCAGATGAAATTTATGAATTTTGATAATTAACATTGCTTTTTTGGATGACATGCCAATAAGTATTTTAAGAATATTGGTTAACGTTATCTATAAAATAATAAATGTTTTTTTTTAATTTGTAACACCTTAAATGTTTTATGTTTTATATTTTGGAGAGATTAAAAAGAAAAAAAAAACTAAATTGATTAGATCAAACTCAGGAAATAAGTTTAGTTAAACTTTGCTAATCAATTTGTCGAAAGTAAATTCGTGTTTTTCTCTGGTTATCTTATTATTATCATTTGCTATTTTCTTGTTATGATCCCATGCAAAACGGGTAGAACATATTTCCTTACCCTAGTAGGATACACATAATCTTTTAATAAATAAATCAAATTAATTGAAAGAAAATGCACTTTACATGACACGATGATTGGAAAATTTAGATATAGTGATATATAGGCTTCTGTGCAGTTGTGAATTGTGATTGCTCAAGAAATTTCCATTTTACAAACCTACTCTTAACCATTTGATTGGCCACATTTGATTAATAATGTACTTTATTGCTGGTGACATTAAAGTTCGTCCAACCATAAAATTTATTGTAAAGGATATTAGATATATTTTATGGTCACTTGTATTTAAAAGTTATTTTTATCTTAAACACTTATATAATAAATTTTATTAATTTTTTTAAAAATAACAATAAATATATAAAATTGACAATATATACTATAATATATACTATCAATGACATATATTCACTCTTCAAGTTTGAGATACATTAAATGTAATTATGTTAAATATTTAGATAAAGAATATTGCAGCCTATAGTAATTCTATCTAATTTAAATATGATTATGATTCAAATATGATTATTTTTAGTGAAGAATTATTTGGAAAAAAACACCCTAGCATATGCATGTTTTAAACTTGATTTAGATTTTTAATTTTTCCAACTCCTATGATTTATTATTAATTAATGCATGAAACTCCAACATAACAACAGGCACTAATTATACATATCTATGGATCAAATGAAACGATGTAACAATATTAATAGACAAGAATTATAAATAACAAATGGTGAAATATCAATGAAATGTTCCTCTTAAAATAAATTTCGAGGAAAGATGCTTCTGAATTAGCTGAGGGCCACAAGGGTATAGATTCATCCATGTGAATTAATCTTTTTCTCTTCTATTCTTCTTTCTTTTTCTTGGGGGCAAAAGCTTAAATGTAAGTAAGTAAATTTTGAACCCAAATCAAGAAAGACAGCTGGAATTATGGGATAACTTTTGTATTCCGCATTCAAACAATCATCACCATCATCTCCCTCATACCCAGAGTGAAACTTCCTATACAAACAAATTTCTTTTCTACAATGTAAAATTCAAGAATGTACTTAGAAGAAATTGAAAATTGTTACCAATATTATTTCTAAATACAATCTTTGTTTTATTTTTTTTTAGTAAAATTCATATGTAATTTATTTACTAAAAAGTGAGACTACTATATCTTAAAGACAATAATGAAAAAACCAAAAAATATTTTTTATTAAAAGGCATTATTAATATACTTTTAATATGATTATGAATGTATAATAACATTTTAAGACATGAGTTAAGACCCTATAATTTAATAAGTTTTACCCCCAAAAAAATTTTGATCAACTAGCTTCACTTAATTATAAAAGGTATATTGCTGGCATTGTTTCAAAATTATTGTAAGGTACCATGTTGGTCCAAAAGTTCATGCACTCCTCTCTTTCTCTCTCCATGACCCACTACTCTTATAAAAACTAGCACAATGTGGAAACAGAAGCAAAGTTAAATCGAAGTCCTCTTATCTTAACCATGCATGCATAATGCATGGGCAGGTTGATCCATGCAGGTATGTGCTTCACATACACCGCTGAACCACTCTCAGTTTTTGTCCTTAACAGGTTACACCACCTAAGATGGTGATTGGTGAATTGAGGTCATTCAAATGAATCAAATTGTAGGGTAACCAATCATGTAAGCAATTATTGGAGTTAAAAGAGTTGTTTTAGAATGCTTACCATTACTATGAGTATGGGTTTCCAATACACAACTAGAAAGAAGGATAAAGAAAGAAGCCACATTTATACTCAATGCCATAACAATTTTATGATCAAATTGAGAAAGAGACGTGTGCTGTGCCTTTTGCACTTGGCCAGCCGTTGAGGTAATATCATCGTCAAGTGCTTCTTTGTTTAAAAGAAGGGACAATCATAATCATAATTTACATAAAAAGGGTTGCAACAAATCAATCTCATTTTCACGTGGAGTTGCCACCCCAATAAACTTTGATAAAAGTATTTAGGGTGTTGTTAATAAGCGTCTTAAAAACACTAGTTAAAAAATTAATATTTTTAATGAATATGAAGTCACTAATTAACATTTTTCAAATACTTAACAACAAATAGTGTTACTAATCTACATGCAAGCACGTGAACATCATCAACTTGGAAAACCAAAACATGCCATGTAATACAACGGGAAATCCCAAGGAGAACACCCCTATGAATTTTTATTTTTTTTCAGATCCCCGTAATAAAAAAGTTCTTAAATAAGTTTAATTTCGTTTTTTTATCATAGTTTCTACACTCATCTTATATTTGTCTATAATTCTTGTGTTCCTTTCTTGTCATATTACTTTTTTTTTCATCTTTCGATGTCGTCTTAGATATACACAAGAGATAGGAAGAAAAAACTTTTTAGAATAAGTAAAAAGGAATAATCATTTGGTCAAGATAATTCATATTGGTTTTCACCAATAAAGTCGAACTAACAAACTATAAGTAGATAATTATGTTGTTTAAACATATTCACGCAAATTTAAGTTTTAGTTGTGTGTATGAAAAAAAAATTATTAAGAAAAACAAAACTTATTTTAAACGATTTCCACATCTTGAAAAAATGATCAGATTGGCTTTCCCAAATAGACAAATATCAAATGTTGGAGACCCACTGTATTAATATGGTGAATAATCACATCAGTCACAATCTGTGGACCCAAAAATGGGGAACTAAGTTTGGAATCAAGCCCGCAAGACAAGCACTTATGTTATTGGTAGAAACGGACCATCCAACGACTAATTTTAATAAGAGAATAACTAGGATTGAAGCCGACGACAGAATCAAGGGATTTTTGCTTTGTTGTGGGTCCTTTAAAGTAAC